GAACTTAATCTGGTCGTTATATGTCACATTTCAGCAACAACCGGCGGGCACAATCGTTGTTATTGTTCAGAACCAGGAAAAGCCGGCCTCGTGGATGGTACTTTCCATATTCACCCTGCTCTGCTGCTTCTTTCCGCTCGGAATCGCGGCGATTGTGTTCTCTTGTTTCGTGAGTATCTATAATCTAAAGTATGTATAAGCAGGGGCGGCGCCAGAAGGGGGGGGGGGCGGTCGCTCCCTATCATTTGCAAGAAAAGAGAAAGAAGAAGAAGAAAAAGAAGAAGAAAAAGAAAAAGAAGAAGAAACATCTTGCAAATGATAGGGGAGGTCATAGGGGGGTTGCCCCCTATTATTTTCTTGCAAATGATGGAGGGGGGGTTAATATGTATCCAATCTGTGTCTGATATGGTAATTTTATAAATATTAATGAACCCTCACTGTAATCGCGGATATTTTTGACCAATCAGAGACGTCTAGTCTGAACGTGTCCACAGACTGGAATACCACCACTGATCTCTACTATACTATCTGTTAGTATAGTAGAGATCAGTGAATACCACGCGCATGTTCGTTACACAAGTAGCCTAAATCCCTCCAGCCCACTGACGCGAAGCTGCAAGGTCATCTTATTATTCCGTATGATGCCACCACAAAAAAATGAGTTATTTAGCCTACAAGCTGGACCACTTTCATCGAATAGTCGAAAAATTAAGTGTCGAAATTCAATCCATATAAAACCTGTGTTTATTAATCGATAATCGATGTCAATGTGTTATTTCCTTGGGAGTCCCAAGTTGGGACCATCATTTGTCGATGATGCTGTTTCCCGGCGGAAAGGTAGGTCCACTTGAGGATGTTAACAACTTAACAGGCATGCGACATTTCCGCCGTTCGGTGGATTTCCGGCCATTTTAGAACTCCAGAGACCATTTCTGAGATCAGTTTTTTTGGGGGGGGGTAAGAATACCTCCGTGGTCTCTGACGATCGCGAACATGTGAACACACTGCGCGTGACTCGGTAACTATCCGGAGCGCTTCTACTCGTATCATTGTCTTGTATCATATCATTGTATGCTTGCTAACATAATGATAAAAGCAGAGTACGGGCCTGTACTACGGGGCGCCATGCAGGACAGGGCTCAATTTTGTCTAACAAAACTCCATTCTGTCTCACAAAACTCAATTTTGTGAACACAAAACTCAATTCTTTCAATCATGTACCACAAAACTCAATTTTGTG